ATCACTATTGGCACAATTTATACAAATTATATGGAAATAGATTTGAGGAAAACAAAACAMAACAGGAAATTTCTACAAATTATTTATGTATGATCCCATTTGGAATCTACATTTTGAACTAATCCTATTCCACAAAATCACGTTTGATCATTCATTTTATTTGCCYGTAAGATACAATTTGTACATCAAGAATCATCACTTCAAGGTGRATCGGATCTCACGTTCTTTCTTTCGTTTTCTTGAACTCCATCGAACGTGGATATCAATCTTCGGTTTAGATCCATCACTCGAACACTCATCGTTTTTTTCTGAAGATTGGTCTGTTGCTTCAACTATATTACGATTAGTACATTGTGATATGTAATGGTTCTTCCTGAAACGGGGAGAATCTGTTGGTTTACGCAAGATTTCGTCAAGTTTAGTGTTCATTTCAGACATCTTGGCCATGAGTTCTTTGATATCAGCCCATTGAGTGACTTGAACATCCACATCTACCATCCATTTTATTGAAGCTTCTAACTCTTTGATTCTTCTCTTGTACCTAAACATCAACAAGTCAAATATTAAACATGTTGTTTCATTAGAAAAAAGATAGGTTTTGTTAGATTTAACGCTTATCTATAGAAAAAAAAAAAAAAAGAGCAAACTATAATTAAGTTGGATAAGCTGAAAAATAAACCAAACCACAGACTTAATTTAAAAAAAATCAAATCTGAACCAAAACTAAAACCATACTGAAATATGTCAATTTAATGATTAGATTGAAACTTGAATTGAAAACTCGAATTAACATTCCCTACAAACGTATATTTCTTTAATTAAGTTTTCTAACTGATGAAGAGACTCTTATCATGMACATCATGTATTATGAAGTAACAACCTTCACGTACAAATTACCTAAATTTCTTGATTAAGTTTCTACGTCTGAGCTCCGCATAAGCTTCGACAAGAGAAACAGCCTTTTCAAGGACATGCTTAAGTGCTTCGATGACTTTTTTCTGAGACTCTTCCACTTCTTCGCTCATGAGCCTATCAACTTGAACCACCAAGGGAGTGATCCTAAAGATTGTAGCGTCGAGACGGTCCAAGATGCATCTTGTGTTTGGAGATCTATCTTTTGCTTTTTTGATGGCGTCGTGAAGAACTTGGAGAGCAATTCCAAGAGCTGCCCCTGCCATAACCTCCATTATCGGCGATTTCTGTAAGACTAGATTAATCGCGACTAGGAGGAGACTAGGAGGTAAATGTATAAAGGAAACTATATAGTTATATGAAACTATATGGAACTTGGAAACTATATGGAACTTGGAAAAGTCTTTTGTTAACAAAACAAGTTGTTTGGAATTGAAGAGCTATATGAAGACAAGAGATTGACTTAGACTTAGAATCGGCCCTCTCTTTTCTTTTCTAGATGAAATGGAGATGTTTGGAACTATATACGCAAGTTGTTAGGATTATTAAATTACGAAGAAGAAGAGAAGAAAATAAGTCTCAGTATTGCTTTTGTAACTTCTCATGGACTTGCACTTACATATCCAAAAAGCTTAATTTTGTATGTTTAAGTTGTTACCAATCATAAGTCAATGATCAACGTAATATTAGTGAGTAGAAACAAGAATACTAAAATTTTAGATGAGTCCATGCTTACAATAAATGATAATACTAAACTCTATATTAAAAAAAGTAAAGCAAAAATGAGATAAAGAATTAGGGAAAAATGGGAAAAAGAAATTACGGTGAAATTTCCCAAGCTAAATAAAATCGAGTTCTTGTTTAATTATGTGTGTGTGGTCGAGGTGTATAGTCCAACATCGTGTCTATTTAGTGCAGGGGCGGATGTAGTGAAAGAACGAGAGGCACCATGACTTTCTCAAAATTAGTGTATTTGTTTAAAGATTTTTTATAATATCCTTTTTGATATTTTATGATGTATTACTTAATATATTTTAGTTCTACACCAGTTGAGAATAATTTTTAGATCTGCCACTGATTCAGTGTATGGTTAAATCCTATTTCTTTAACTTCTTTCTGAAACTATATGACCCACAAAG